TGTAGGGGCAGTTCCGCCTGAGATGACGGCGATGACCCTGACTGGGGCATCTCGGGCTAGGGGCTTGTCGGTGCAATGCGGTTCTTCCCTGAGTTTATGTTCTTTGATGTCAATGAATCCACAAAGGTATACGTATCATTTAAGGTCTTCCAGGTGGTGGCAGAGGCTATGGCAACTTTTAGTGTCATGGTTATGGTCGCGATGGAAGTCGCAAAACTTGTCTCAGCTCCACTTGTAGTCTTGGGTATTCACCTTCTCGAGCCACTTGATGAAATTGCGATCGCAGATTTGCATGAGTATGTGAGCCTGCTGAATGTTGAGTGGAGTGAAGTGGTGATAATGGTGGTGTTCTTGGTCTACGATCAGGTCGGCGGTCTTGCCTCTTGGTTTCTCGGTCAGGTCTTAGTATACGTATCATTTAAGGTCTTCCAGGTGGTGGTAGAGGCTATGGCAACTTTTAGTGTCATGGTTATGGTCGCGATGGAAGTCGCAAAACTTGTCTCAGTTCCACTTGTAGCCTTGGGTCTTCACCTTCTCGAGCCACTTGACGAAATTGCGGTCGCGGATTTGCATGAGTATGTAAGCCTATGGAGCGTTGAGTGGAGTGAAGTGGTGATAATGGTGGTGTTCTTGGTCTACGATCAGGTCGGCGATCTTGCTTCTTGGTTTCTCGGTCAGGTCTTCAACCATCATGGTATCTACGCTTTTGGTCACGTTGGTCTTCATCTTCCCTGTGTAGTGCTTGGTCTTCCTCAACATTCATATACTTTTGTGCGTGCTTCATGAGCACGGTCATGTTAGCCAGAGGAATTTTTTGTAATGAGAAGCTAAACATTAAAGAGCGTAATTTACTCATGATGGTTGTCACGGCCACTGACTGATCCAGGGCTCAGACCTTGAGGTCCTCAGTGTTGAACCTTGCCAAGTATTCCCTCAAGGTCTCTCATTTCCTTTGTTGCACTTGCATAAGGTTGACCAACGTCTTCCAGTGCCTTTATCTGGTAGTGAAATGCATCAGGAACTATGTCTCAAGCTACTCCTAGGAGGATATGGGTCGAGGAGGAAAGGGAGGCAATAGCAGGTCTTGGCAACTCCGTAGAGGGTGGCAATAAAGGCCTTGCACATGAGGCCTTCAGAGGAGCCACGTAGCATCATTGTCACCTTGAACCCTTCAATGTGGTCATTGGGGTTCGAGGCTCTATCGTACTTCTCGAATTAAGGAGGTTGTCATCTGGCTGGGGGGAGCTCGTCGACAATCTCTTGGACGAAGATGAGCTTTTTGGTGGGCTGCTGACCATGGTGTTGCACTATTGACCGAGTCGTCGAGGTGGCAGCGGTTTTACCCTCTTGGCTACGCTCAAGCTCAGCCAAACGCCTCAGTTCTCTGACCTCAGCATCTTTGTCGATTGGGGCCACGTTCGCAGAATTCCACTTTTTAGGATTGCAGATCGATCTCGGACCGAGCTGGATTCGACGACTGCTGTAGATGTTGGTTGAGTCGTTCTTTCGCTGGCACTCGTGTAGAGTGATGGGTGCTATGGGCGTTGTGTGCACGAAGCCGGGCTGGGGAGTTAGATCCTCTAGATGGCTATGGTTGCTTACGGTCAGACTGAGCCCTATGCTTGTCTATGTGGTGCCTTTGGGGGTCATTAACACGAGGATCAGCCATAGCTGGCGCTTGCACGAATGACCGAGCATCTTGGGGGGCACGAGCTGGCTGCCCCAGCGTCTCCATCATGGCTAGGATGCGGTCTACTTTCTATTGCATGGCTTGGAATTGTGCAGAATCGACCGTAGTCTGATATTCGGGCCCCCGATGTGGAGAGCGGCGAAGGGAGCAAGATTCCCGAGATGGAGAATGGGCTCCAAAGCAATCAGATGTGTTTCTAGGCATGGTCGCTTTGAGTGCACAAAAGAGAGTTTGGGAAATGGCTTTTTGCACGTTTCCCACAGATGACACTAATATGATGCTATTCAAACCGATGACACCATCAGATAATCCTGCCAATTGGACGAAGAAGAGGTGAAGGGTGAGGCCGCACATTAAAATCTACAACCAGGAGAAAGGTCAAAGGCCCAAGGAGTTAATCCAAGGAGAGGTACTCTGACGCTCAAGTCAATTGAGTAGAAGAAGAGATGGCCAAACCGAACATGTTAAAACAGTGCTGGTTTAGGCTGAGGAGACCAAGCAAAGAGGTATTCAAAGAGTACTGTTCAAAAAGTCCCTTACCTCAAGTGGGAAATACAAATTTATAGTTAGGTGTCCATGTTCCAGATGGACAAGGCTTCCAAGGTTGTCAGGATAGAATCGTCTATCGAGGTCTTAGGGAAATTTTCTCTTCCCTGGTGGAGTCCGCTTCTTTGTATGTACAGGACACTCCTTAGTCTTGCTCTTCTATCATTTGTGGCGTCGACGTGGCTTGAGAGAGAAGACGGCCACATGGCATCCTCGGCCATCAGAATGGGCCGTTCTAATTCCAACTATTTGGTTGGATGGAATCGGAATGTCATTCTTTTGTTTGAGGGAATGGCCATTCCTTCCTCCCTTGGAAATGAGAATCCCACTCTAGCCAATTCCAATTCTGATTACAATTCATGTCTAAATCAAACAAGCTATAAGAATAGACCATTCCGACTCTGATTCCAACTGCAAACCGAACTGAGCCTTGGTCTTTAAAACATTTTCCAGCCACTTACAATTCTGATTTCAATTCCTGTCTAAACCAGACAAACTATAATAATAGACTATTCCGATTATGATTTCAACTGCATACCTAACTGACCCTTAATCTTTAAAACATTTTCCAGCCACTTACAATTCTGATTTCAATTCCTATATAAACCAAACAAGACTATTCCGATTGTGATTCCAACTGCGGAGCAAACTGACCCTTAGTCTTTAAAACATTTTCCAGCCACCCAGGGCAAAAACTAAGATGTAAACCTTCTTCAAGAAGACCATTTTGGGCAGCAACATGGGCTGCTTGGTTTCCTTCCAGCTTGACCTGCGAAAAGATAACTTGCGTATTTAGAGCGGCCTGACCTGGAGAACAAAAACAATATCCTTCTTCAGGGAATCTTTTTCAATTTAAGCTCAGCGTAATCTGGCTGCAATCACCTTCAATCTCCACTTTGAAGGGAAACCAATATTAACTTGGTTAATAATGGCAAGTTAGAATTAGAAAGCACAGTTGTGACTTATGAGCAAGCAGGAATTGGATCTACGTGGTTTAGTAGATGCTGGCAGCCTGGCATGCCATACATGGCGACATATTTAGAGCGGTTGCTATTAGATATCCAAACAAACCAAGTGAATGCTGAGATTGAATCAACAAGTGACTCGACCCACCAACCAGTAACCACATTGCAACTTGCAAGCTAGTTTGGGAGGGCTGAAGCACAGCGGCTTATGGCCCTTTTATGGGCCCCACATGGACTCTGGAGGCTGAAATCGGCTGGCTTTCAGTCATTTGAAGGGCTGCTGTCTGCTTCGGACTCTTTGAATAGCTTAACGGAAGTGCTCTTAAGTGCCCGTCTGAGAGTATGTCAGCCAAGGAAGAGACTGGTTAGGGAGCAATTATATGTAAGGGCAAAGAGAAGCATCCTTAAATCTAGCCTTGCTCAGGTATGCATAGTCGCATGGAATAGTTTTCTTCAAATACTTTAGATGCTTCAAGCCTCCGAAAATCAGCCAAATGTTGTTGCCTACAAGCTCAAATACAGCATTTTCACCAGGAAACAATACTTTTCAAGTATCAACATTCAATACACACCGATTGAATGCTAACAGCGTCCACATAGCGGGACTAAAGGAATTGAAGTCAATGAGAAGGCTATCGCTCAATCAAGTTAAAAAGAACTTCAATTGACTAAAACCATTTCCAAAAAAATAAAAGATACAGTCAAGTTTGGTAGCTAAAGATGTATTACCATTTTATAGATTTTCCTCTAAAATTATTATGCAATGGAAAACTCAAATATTTATAATATCTTCATTAAAAAAGAAAATACTTAAACCATATTAAAATAGATACAAGCGTTAAACATTTAAATAAGAGTACATATTCTGTATATTCAAAAGATGCATTTAAACACAAAGAAATCTCTATCTTTTACCTCATATATTTTTTTAAGACAAAACAAAAGCTACTTCAATAACAAGGCATATAAGTTCTGAAACACATCCCCCTGAGTGGTGTCAATATATATAATATATGTAACCACCCCCCCTTTACATGCTTTATAAGCTAACATATGAGGTAATTCATTACATTGCCTATTTTTTTTTTATCTCATATATATTAGAAGCTTTTTCATTTGCACGTAGTGTTTCTTTCACATTTCTATACTTTTTAACAGCTATGCTACATAGCACTTTGAAAACAAAAGTAGCTTATGCAAACCAATAAACCATACTGGTTATGGTATCATGTTGGTAGAAAATGTAGACTATAAACCAATGCATTGTTTCTCAAATTGTACAATACAAGTTATGGGATAAAAATGTTGTTGGACATAAAAGGGTTAAGGATTGTCTAAGTTTGATTTTCCATCATTGCCTGTCATGTATACTTGATCTTCCAGCCACAAGGTCCAGAAGTAAAACCAACAATGGATAAACTAGAGAACCATGATCTCATGTTCCCATGATTAACCACAAATGAACATTCTCACAACGGTAGAGACAACTCATGAGGAAGAATTGTCATTAATCTCGCCCACTGCATGAGCATACCATCATTTCAGTTCTCTTTTAAAGATATTTACTTGGCATATTTCAATCAATAAAGCCAGTATTAATTTCATTTATGTGGATTTCAAGCGAGTTGTCAAGTTACAAAGGTTAGCTTTGAAAGAAAAAACACATTCAGGTAATGAAATTTTGACTCTTAAAAGGAACAAATTACTGCTAACAGGAAAACTTAGTTCCTCCGACCCCACCCCGACTCAAATCAGCAGCTTCAAAATTAAGGAAGCAAAAAAGCATATGAAATTTTAAATAGAATTACAATAACTGACTGAAGAAATATTGGCAATTCATACTCCAAGTTCATGAGTTGCTATACATTACAATATAGGAGCTCCTGTGATAAATACTCAACGTTAAACAGGAAAGCTCAATGATTAAAATACCAAATAAAAGATAGAAAGTGTAAATTCTATTGATACAAGTTACACGAAGAGGAGATAGTCTACATTCACATACAACTCTTTCAGCTTTAAAGACAAAGTCATTCCTACATCCCAGACGTTTCACGTATCATCGGAATTTCTACATTTTACCTTATCACGGCTAGCGCTTGCCGTTCAGCTTGCCCTCCTGAACATCAACTGGCAAAGGTGACCATGCAACAGAGTCCTGGAGTTCAGTCATCCTCCTATACATAACCAGAAATGCAGTTATCAACAAGCTCATAGCAGCCACACAAGGTACCAGAACACCGACTTTTCTTCGTGGCCAACTCTGCAAAACAGACCCCACTGAGAAATCTCCATCAAGACTACCGGCTGAGTTGTTCATCTTCATGATCTCCACCCCATTCAGGATGGCATTAGTTGTTGATGGACTACTTAGGCTGGACGGGCCTATGCTTATGGTCACAACTCCCGAGGCATCCGCATCAACAACAAAATCAGCATAGTAAGGAGAAGCCAGCATTCCAGTAAGGGAAGAGAGATCCAAATCTTTATAAGCTAAATGCCCATTGACGTAAACATCGAAATAGAGCAGATAAAGAGAAATACTGTAGATATCACAGAAATGCATCCGAACGAGATACTTATAACCAACAGACACAGGGAAATCCCATGTAATGTTAAAATTGGGACTGGAGACATTGGCATCACCCATCACACGGGCAGTATTGTAAACGCTGTCTGGTGCAACTTCACGACTTGCCCCTCCCGGCTGGTACTTAATCCTGCCACTGGAATAAATCGATTTGGAAGCGGCGCTCAATCTCAAGAAGCTATCATCAGGAATCCAAGTTCTCCAGAAGGAATCGTTAAAAGGCGTAACCTTGGGACCTCCTACGTTGACTCTGTAAACAGTTTCCATTGCCTGTTTTGTCAGGCCATCAAAATTGTCAACTCCCTCACAATTTACGAGTCGAGCGGTGTCTGCTATAAGATCCCCAGGCGCAGAAATGACTTCGATTGCATTAACAAAGGCAAGCGGAGCTTCTTTTGAAGGTATAAACGAGATGACAAGTTGGCTACTATCAACCCAGATGAAATACTCTTTTAAAACAGGGCTATTGTCGTGACAGCCAAAATCTCTCAATAGCAAGAATTCGTGAACCGAAACATGGAATCGAGCATCGGAGAGATTGTAGTTTGACGAGGAGAAAGGAAGGAAATGGAGACGTACCAAATGAGTGCCCCTTTGCTTGATCTCGAACTCGTATGTGGAGGGTTTCCTGAAAACCCTAGCCGTGTGGTAAAGAGGCGAAGAACCGACAGATGGGTTTTGATCTGTGAGCGAGATCGTTCGACCTGCAGACAGGTATACCTCTCCAGACTTGGACGAATCGCCGATGAAGTGCCTATTGTCGACGGTGGTCTGAGCGGTGGATCCACAATCGACGAGATAATTATCCACGGGAGAGAAAGCGGAGGAGAAATTCAAGAAGATGGAAAGCTGCAGAAAGGAGAAGAAGAGAAGGCGGGAAAGAAAAAAGCTTGGAGGATCAGCCATTTGAAACGGAGAAGGAATTCGGCGTCTGGATGGGCGATCAATCGGAGAATAGAGTAATTGGGGTTTCTCTAGCCTCGCATGTTCTTGTGAAATTGATGAGATTTGAGTAATAGGGGGTTTCTCTCCGCGTTTCACCTGTAAAACGCAGAATAGCTTATAGCTGTAGGGTCATTCGTCCTTGGTGGCCTTTACGCGTAAGTTGCTCAACGCGTCGGTGTCTATGAGATCACATCAGCACCCTACTCTCACGCCTGACATGCACATCTCACCGTGCATTGGTAACATCTCCCGTATTTGTTTATGGGAGATGTCCCCAATACACGGTTGCGATGTACTGTGGGGAACTCCAGTATCTACACTGTGGTCCAAAGGACGGAACTTGGAAATTGGTTGGTTCATCCTCACTCCTGAACCTGTTTTAAGTGGATCATCCGAGCCGATTATTGTGACACAAGCAGTCGCACTGTGTTTTGAAGGCAGCTGTTGCAAATTTTAGCTTTCATAAGGTAAGTAATGGAAATTTTACTTATACTTACTTTATATTTTTTAACCGACTCAAAATTATTGACCTTTCAGAAATAAGTTTTCATATTAAGACGATATGACCTCCGTGAAAAATACAAATAAGAATTATATAATTATATAAGAATCTATGATAATAGATATCTTCACCCTTATCATTCACGCCTTATTCCAGCTGTATGGGGTCGATTATATGAATTTTAATGTCATGTGTTCTATTATTAATTTATTAATGTTTAAAGAAGTGTTTTTAACCCGTCATTGATTTGATGGTTGAACTGTGTATTCAGTCGTCATTCTGGGTTTGGTTTCTCTAAAATTTGGAATTTGATCAAAAACCTTTTATATGATTAAAAACCATCCAATTAGGGTGGTTGAACCATTGATTCATCTTAAAAAGTGAGGTTGACATTAAATACATATGCAAATTTTTAAAGGCTATAACTTGTCCTCGAAGCTTGAATGTCTAATTGGAGTGTTTTTTTTATTTTATTTTGGGTAGTTTTTCAATCAAAATTTTTACAAAAACAAAAGGTTTTTGGCCTCAAGTTCCAACTTTTAACATTTTTTACAAATAAAATAAATAAAAAGTGAAATAAAAATATAATTTAAACATAAATTAATGTATATAATATTACATATATATATATTAATTTGCTTATGTGGCATGGTTTGACCCATTCAACCCGGATGATCAAGAAGTGACACATGACCCAAAAGAAAAAAAGATGGTCAATTTTTAAAACATTTCTTACTAATTTATGATTCTATCCATGTTATTTTTTGTCTATCTCTAGCACTTTTAGCCTATTTCAACTTGTAACAAATCCGATAAAATATTTTTTCATATAATTTAAGTTTCAAAAATATGCAAACGATATATAGGTTTTATAAAATATTAATTATTATGTATTAGATTTGAGTATTTGTCCATAATATTTTTCTCAAGGGAAAATCTATGATGTGGGAAAGATATTATGGTATGGAAAGAGTTTGACTAATCAAAACCCACCAATGAATTTTGATAAATAATACCTTATTTGCTACCACATTTATGATTCCAGTTTATTGCTCAATTGTTTTTGGGATATCATATCTTTTTCATATCATAGTAGAACCCTTCTTTCAAACATTAAGGGGTGCTTTGTAAATTGCCACATCAGCAAAAAAAAAAAAAACATGTTCTTAAACTGTTTTTTTTTCAAAGAAAAAAAAGGTTCTTAAACTGTTTTGGGGATATCATATCTTTTTCATATCATAGTAGAACCCTTCTTTCAAACATTAAGGGGTGCTTTGTAAATTGCCACATCAGCAAAAAAACAAAAAAAAAAAACATGTTCTTAAACTGTTTTTTTTTCAAAGAAAAAAGAGGTTCGTTTTGTTTCAAAAAAATACATGTTTTTGAAAGTGATGAGGGGTAATTTGGTCATCCAAATAGCCTCGTGACACGTGGCCTTCAAGTAACACCTCGACCCAGGATAAGCGAACAAGCTCGAAAAGTTAGCCCGAGGCACCTCACCCAAACCGACCTCCACCTCGGTCGGGCCAAACTGATAGGTCCCCTAACTAGCGATGACCTATCTTAGAGGCTGGTCGAGCTATAGAGATCAACGGTGACCTGTGAGGAGAGCCCCTTGATTTGTCCCGACAACGCGTTACCAACCCGAGTAAAGACAATTCGGACACTCTAACATTCTCTCTTACAAAATACATCAGCTCACCCACTTCCAACTCGACCCGAACAAGGAATCTTTCAAATCAACATCCGAGTCATCTAATACGAGGGAACAATCAAATCACGCTACATCAGAAAACAATAAATAATACTTTTTAATACAAAAATGAAATTTGTAATGTAGAGATTATATAATTTATGAAACATGATATAAATTAACTAGATAAAAATATATTTTGTAATAAAAAATTCAACAATATACTTTACTGTTTTGATTTATACTTTAATCCAGCAATAATCAAAACAGTTCACATTGTAAAAAAATAATAATTTGTTTTCAAACTAATTCAGGCCCCGTAGGGAAGGGCATCACATGTTAGACCGGACCCACTTACCGGGTTAGTAGTGGTAAGCTTATACTTGGGAGTTGGGCCCCAATTTTATTCACTGAGAGGTTGCACTGTTGTGGGCTTGAACCTGCACCTCCTAAAAAGGAAGGATGCTGGGTAACCAACTGAAGTGAACTATGGACAAGATCATTGAAGTTGCATGTCTTTAATCAAGAGGATGGAAGGTAAGGCATATTGCCACACATATCGAGAAGATAGCATTACTGCGAACTGACTGACTAACCATGGTCACTCAAACGATATAACTATTTCCTCCATCCCTAGAGTTTTAATTTAGTGCTATGTAGGGACGCATTATCCCCGCTTTGTGTAGTCCCTTTTTCTTGATTAATAAAAAAAGTGAATTATTGGGTCATTTCATTAACATCACAAATTTATAATATATTATTTTGTTAGTGTAAATTACAGATAGATATTTTATACTTTGGGGGTAGTGATATAACACTTAGTCTGAATTTTCAAAAATAAATAATTCAGTTAAACATTATATAATATCAAAAATACATTTCTTAAGTATTTTTTAGATTATTCTATGGAATAAAATCATTACCAGAGAATGTTAGATCATCAGAAAATTTGAATATATTATTTGTTGTCTATGAGAACGTCATCATGGAAAAAGGTTCGATTAAATGAGAATGATCTTATAAACACATGAAAAGGGTATTTTTGATATTATATAATGTTTAACTGACGAAATACTAATGGAGGGACCTAAATATGTATTTTTTGAGAGTTCAAGATACTCTAGGGTTACAATTGGGAGTTTAAGACCTAAGTGTTTATTTTTGCAACCTAGAAACCAATTTTAACTTCAGAGAAGCATTAGTCCTTTTCTAATAGAAATCAAAAGCTAACCTTGTTTTTCTTGTTCTTGGTATTGCATGTCTGTCTTCCCTACGGGATTAGGATGACCACCCGTGGAAAACACCGATATGGTCATCTTCGAGAACATTATTGTCAGGTAAGGGGCCCATAGTCATTGAGACACCTTGCAATATGTTCATTACGTGGTTTTTGTTGTCACTGAAACTGATAGGCAACCATGGTGTGATCCCAAAGGCAATCGAACTTTAAATGCAATGCTGCTATTAGAGAAGGGAAGGGATACAAACTAGGAAACAAAGATGGGGTCGTTCAGTGGGGATTCCCTCGCCCAAGCCAAGTCATTTGCCTAAGTAGAGATAATGGATCCCTGCAGCAATGACCAATGATTTCTGACCAGTGAGAGGGGGTGTTCTCGTATAATCACTCACCAAGAATCTTTTTTTTTTTTTCAGATTTATGTGGAGATCAGAAAAAGTTTATTTTCCTAGATATCATTTATCCAGTTAAGTGAAAATTGCTAACACTTGAATGGGACAAAAATACTCTTTTAATAATGGTTTTTTATGGCTAAAATGATCATTGCCTTATTTACATGAAAAATAAAAGAATATGGGTAAATGCAATTATCCGGGTAAGTGTGCTGAATAAGTAACTTGCCGAAAAGTAAACGAGGTCTTAATACTATATTGTTGGATTTGTTGAATTTGTAATGTTGATACTTGTGCAATTTCACGTACATACCACAATCCAAATGACAAATGCACGTATCACTCAATTAATATCTTGGTGACTTGGTGTTGTATAGAACTCTGAATGAGTCCGGTTCTTTTAATAACAGGACACTATAGTCGCACTCCATGAATAACAACATAAAAGTATGATAGATGTTCTTGATGTGCGACTGTAATGTCTTTATGGGAGATAGATCCATATTACTTAGAAGAATGGGGATGGAATAAAGTTAAAAAAAAATGTAGGTAATAGTGGATTATTTTGATAGATGCTAATTCTTTCTCATATGGCAACGGCTTTCTTATACTAACCAATGAAAACTCACAGGTTTGTAATTGGTCAAATCTCAAGGGCTATGATGGATGAGTATAATACCAGAACACCTCCCTTGTGAATATTGATGAATTTTCATTAGTTTATATATTGGTGGTGATCGGTACTCAGCGGGGTCTTTACTTGAAAGACCGCAGAATGACTCCCAAGGACGTTTGGTCGGAGGCAGCACAGAAAAGGGATCTCAGACCTAAAATCAGAATCAGAGAGAGAGAGAGAGCGCATAATACGATCATGTGTGTGTGATTATGCAAGGCGGCCATTAACATTCACAAAGCAAGGAGCTTTTCTCAAAAGGAGGGATGCCATTAATTTGTCGAATGTCGGGGATTGTTTGGTAGTGTTGTGCCATGCACCCACCACATAAACACTATATAGACATGTCAATCATAATGTTTGATTGGGGTAAAATGCAGGTAAACACTCGTAAAAGTGCATAACCCCACACTTGGTAAATTGCACTAGTCATTGTTGGGGTCAGGGGAAACATTGAATAGACGAAATATCTTCCCATTAAATAAAACATGTAAGTACAGAAATTTTTTCAATGCATGACTGTAAAAGAATATAAGCACATCTCCAAATCGGCATTTGTTGCAACTGTACAACGAGGATAGCTTGTTTCCTATAACCGTACCTATACTCCAACCCTGACCACAGCAGGATTTGACCCCAAATATATATATATATATATACCAACTAAGCTAATTGACATCATCCATCTGATCATGTATCTTGATGCAAAGCTCTTGATCACTACCTTATTGATCAGGATCCGAGTAAAGTTGGCACTCTAATACTTTAGAACTCAAAAAAAAAATCAATACAATAAAATTGGATATTTTTGCTAGGTAAATTAAAAACAAGCATTTCATTCCAAGTAAAATAGATATTAGTAGGAAAATATTCAAATTTAGACAAATGGCCGACTCTAATACACCCAAATCAAACCGGATGATATGGATCGTGTCCTAGAACCTGAACCCAATTATATAAAGCCAGACCAGACTTAGTTGGACTAAGCACCATTGGGAGAATTTAGGGTATGTTTGGTGAATAAGTACTTATGAATTAAGTACTAATTTTTAAGTACTTCTTAGTGTTTGGGAGGTTTTTTGCAAACCATTTATACTTATTTTTTGTTATAAACTTATAGTATTTGGTGAGCTGTTTATTCCAATAAGTACTTATATTTGTGGAAATGGCAATTATAACCCTAACTAATTAAAACATATATTTGACATTTTTTGAATATTATATTGACACATTTTGATGAAAAACAATACAAAAAGAAGAGGGCACCACTAACTAGCTATTGTCAATTAGGTGCTAGATCTGAAAATCCATTGCAAATTAGGGCACTATGATCCAAAAAATAGCATGGGAGAAGGAAAGGGTTTAGAGAAATGAAGAAATTGAAGCAAATAATACGAAGAAAATGGGGTTAAATGATGGAGTTTCATGCACCTACATCTGTGAGAGCTGTGAGAGTACTAAGATAATTGTCGCCACAGCTCCTGGATGATCGAATTGAAAAGGCAATAGAGTTTTATCATCCTTTGAAGAAGGGGCAATCCTTGAAAATTACAGAAATATTTGAGGATAGTTTTGTCGACAAAAAGAAATAAATGCTTATTAAATAAGCACTTAATAAAAACCATCCATTTCTTGCTTTTTTTTCAAGTGTTTGTTTTCAAAATGAGCACCTATGTTAGACATTTTTGTCAATTGTCAAACAAGAATAAGCACTTATTATCCACATGGTCCCAACACTTAAAATAAATACTTATTACAATAAGTACTTATTTTATGATTTCTGGCATTTCTGCATATACGTTCATTGGGGCATATTAATGCTGTGAGTCCTGACAGTAGAGTGTAGACTGTGGACGGTAGCTACTGGCCTAGTGCGTACTGCCTACTTGTTGGGCCACTTTAGTCTTGATAATTCGTTCCATTTGTTTGCAATGCAATTTCATTTATACGAGTACAAATGCATGAAAAAGGCTTGTATGAGAAAAATGCACAATGCAAAATGTGAAACAAAAATGAATCGGAATCTGAACTAATATCATTTGCACTCCTATGCTCTTGCATCAGTATAAATGAAAATACACTGTAAACAAACAAACGAGGCCTTCAGAATACATTATCCACCAAGAAGGAAATTTGACATTTATTTTTATGCTCATTGATTGATATATCTATCAACAACATGTAATTCCCGTATAATTTCATTTTTTTCTAATAAAAATAAATAAACAAATAACATTGAGAAATTGAGAAAGAGGAGGAAGAGGAAGGGTTATTTTATGCTCTTTATCCTTTTTTTTTTCTTTCTATATTTCACTTATCTCACCTTCCCTGCATACACCCACATCAATAACCATGCTCTCACTCTTCACTGAAGGCAAGATCCTGCAACAGTTTCTCCTCGGAGACTGCACATTCAACAGAAATATATAAATTAAAGACCACATAACAGCATTTACATGAAATTAATATGACGAACAGAGCTGACCAGTACCAGTACTGTTTAATTAGTTAATTACGGTCTACTGTAAACAAAAAATTGGTTTCCAGTTTCCAAATCCCAAATTCCATGCATATGTCCGCAGGAATGGTGGATGAAAGAAGACAAGTAGACAGCAAAATTAAATGAAACCGCTTACCTTGTCCCATAGATGGGGGTCGGGTCTCTTATAAACCACCACGCTCTCAACACCTGCAGGATCAGGCATCTTCCACCTGCAAGCTGGATGTGGAACTTGATGCCGAAGGTACTCGCTCACGGTCTGCTTTGTGGCGGGATCGTATCTTGCGGTGGAGAGGTAAAAGACGAAAGGCTTTTGGCAAGGATTCCGGGTCACGGGGCGGGTGTTGAAGGCGTAGGCAGTGTAATCAGCCCTTCTGTACCAATTGAGGAAAGTTCTTGAAGGCATCTCCATCTCCCGGGGCGACAACACTCCCCGGATTATCTGAACGGCGAAGCCCCAAGAAACAGAGACGGTCCAACTCTTTGGCTTGTCGTAGCAGATGGATTGCTGCATGAGGCCCGCCGAGTCGAGCTTCTTTGGCACCATGAGCCGTTGCAGGGCCTCGACGCGGGTTACATTGGGGAAGATGGGCTCCACTACATCGATGTGGTGCAACGATACTAGAGGCGTCACGGGGTGGGCCGCGAGGAGCCCAAATAAGTTGCCATACACATCATACTGATGAATAGTGAATACAAACACACACAAATGGCCGTTATTACTATCTATCTATCTCATATTCCGATGCATCACAAGTCAAAATGACCAGACCAGACCTACTAGATCAGGCCACCCCAGACCGAGGACCAAAACAAATTACACCGTGAATGGCGACGGCCCTGCTGTGGTTCCAGCTAAGGAACAACGTCCTTTAAATGCGTACAACTGGCATCGCACACCAAGTGTCAAACATAAATCCACCAAACAACTTGTTCATATCGCCCGAAAATAATAGTAATACAACATTAACATTGTTACGAGCGATTTAGCGAATAAACCCACAAAAGTGATGCCCGACTGAGTGCCGCAGGGGACGGAAGACAAAGGGCAGAAGTGATCGATATTGAACAGAAGTAAAACCTCAAAACAAATGAAGAACCCACATACCAGCATGGAAAGTAGCGAATGCTCCTTCCAACGACGGATGACAAAGCCACGTCATCCATGTTATCACCTAAAGTTTAAGATTCTCTTCGTATGCACGACGTGGCTCTTTCATCCACCGACCACCGTGGTGAAAGGAAAGAAAGAAAAGAGGACAAACCTGGTGAAAGCCAAGCTCCTTCGTGAGAGGTACACCGAGCTCAGCCATGCAAGCTTGCATCCGATCATCGGAGCCGTACAAGCCTGGATACCTCTGAATGCACCTGTCTTGCATTTTATCAAGCGCCTTGGCCAATGGGTAGCTGATGGCGAATCCTCCCCCGCCGTAGGCCATGCCGTAAGAGAAGTATATATTCTGTAAATGGCTCTCCGACAAGCTCCCGATGTAGTAGAACTGATTATGGTCGTATTTCGACAAAACCCTAACCAGATTCTCTGGGATGAACACCGTATCATCATCTCCCATCACGAACCACCTCACGTTCTTCATTCCCAATCTCAGTGTCTCGGACACGATCCTTGAGATCCGAATCGCTGAACGGTGACCCTGTCGGTTCGTGTAAGGAAATTGGGACGTTTCGTCTGAGATCTTCAAGGGAGGCAGCCCTTCATCCTTGTGGGTCTTTACGGGCTTGTCCAACCATACGATCCCCCGCATCTTATCGGGTCTCCACCATACCTTGATGTAATGCTTTCTCTGCTCCCATAACCTTGCAGAAGCTGCAATGCCGAACACAATTTGATGGAGCCCTGTTGCTTGGGGGCTTTTCCGATTCTCTTCTAGTCGGACAACTTGAGCCGTCCGATTGCGCCTCGCCTGCACGGCGGCGACTGTAATGTTGGAGGTTCGAGAAGAAGATGAGGGCGAGAGATGGTAGGAGTTGAAGGAGCCTTGTTGATGACAAGGGCTAGAAGTGGAAACGAGCTTCAAAGTGTAAATAATGTAGGTCACAGAGATCACAAGAATGAGAAAGACCAAGAGCTTTGTGAGAACTCGAGATGGAACTGCGGAGACGGAAACGGGATTACCGGAGGGGCTCCTCATATGATCCCAAAGCAGCTTCTCTGTCCCGTTCCCCTTCATTGTCTATGGCTGGGCAGTCAGGGTTGGGCTTTTTCTGGGTCGCAGCAGAGACGAAAAAGCAGAATAACAAAGAGCAGTACAAGAAATCAAAACGAGGACTTCGGTTACTGTTTAAACATTAAATTGAAAAGGGCGTCACTTTGCTCCGTCAAAATTCGACTGGTGAAAGTCAGAGATATGGATACGGATGCGGATATGTTTTCAAAATGTATGGATACAAAACGAAATAATATATAAAAACGTTTAGATATATTATGCTTTTCACATAAATACATTAATAATAATATTAAAAAGCTCAATTATCTATGAATAAGATAAAAATGCGTACTTCAATAATAAATTATATGAAGAAAAATATTATAATAAATAATACTGGAATTTTAGAATATTCAAACATTACACAATAATTATCACTTTTAATTTCAATTTTTATAATTATAATTTTCAATTTTTATTAATTTTTGAAAATATTTATTAATTTAGTAGTTTTATTTAAATAAAAACTATTTTTAAATAATAAATATGTTTTTTTTTAACATATAATGCTTTTATTTTACATAGAATTGTAAAATAAAACAAATAAATCATTTAAGGTAGATAAAATAAATTATTTATAATTTTCAGTTTTTAATTAAGTTTTTTGAGGAAATTAAATCTTAAATTATTAATTTCAGTTTTTATAATTATAATTTTCTGTTTTCCATTAAAGTTGGGAAAATTTATTTATTTAGTATTTTTATATAATAACTCTATTTTTCAAATAATAACTATGTTTTCATTTTTTAAATATAATTATGTGTAAAACAAAATATAGAAATCATCTAAGGTAGATGAAATGTATTATTTTTATAATTTTTAGTTTTTATTAATTTTTTTGGAAAAAATAAGTCTTGAATTATTTATTTCAATTTTCATAATACTATTTTTTAATTTTTATTAAAAGTAAAAAACAATCAAAAAATAGTCAATATACAGTTTTATCAAACTAGGCATGGGTATGTTTCTATCGACATCTTAATTCTTATTATAGGTAGGATTTATTAACCCTAGCAGCATATTCAATAACAGAAAGAAAGAAAATGAAGAAGAAAGCAAAGCTAGTCACAGTAGGAACTATTATAGGTATAATATATATACACCAGTTTTCAAAGAAGGGATTATTTGACTTATTTCAGATAAAAGTGTAAGCGGATGGAATTAATCAAGCAATATCTAAATTCTAATCTGATTAGAAAATTCAATATCCAAATTCGAATTGAAATCCAACAGTCAAATTCAATGGATTAAATATTCAAATTCGAATTCAATCGATTAAATATTCAAATTCGAATTCGATTATTTCAAATCTCGAATTTAAAATCAGATTTTCCAATACTTGGCACCCCTAATTTCCGATATATGTATTGCTGCCAGTTTGCGTATCTCATTCCTCCCGTTCCCCGCACGGGATGAGGACTGTACAGTGTTATTCTGTTAATTACGTAAGCATTCATGCTTCTACGCGTCACCTCCCACGTTAATGTTTAGGATTTGTTTTAATTAACCAAAATTCAAGCGTAATCCGTCGTTAGGACCCTGCAATTTCTGGGTCCCAAAAAATAAAAAATGTCGACTCTCTCTCTCTGCCTGCATGTATGCCACGTAAACAATAATTTGTGCCCTTAGCGGATAATTTGGGCACATCTCAGTTTTGATAAAGATAACATACACTTTTGTGTAGTTCCTCTTATTTTTTAACAAAACGACAAATAACATAACATGCGTTGTCAATAACTCGGATTATCTGAACCTTGTGAGTTGTGGCTCTTCCAGCGGCATGTGGAATGAATGATAATGTTCCACACGCTAGTAATAAATGAATTGATTTACGGCTCCACTATAGAGAGTGTGGGTTTCATATATTTCATTACTATTGTAAAATTTTTATCATTGGTTTCCGCTGAATAGCCATGGGGTTCGCTTACTCCTTGTTCCATTGTCAAAGATTCAAAGTTACAATGCATTAAAGTACACCAGACTATTTAAGTTTTAAAATGAACAAATGATTCTTTGTTACTCTCATGGTTCAAAAATATTAATATACATCAATTGGCATATATTTATAGAAATTTGGATGAGGCTTTAAGCCAATAATAATCCCATATATTTAAATATTGACGTAGAACATTATCATTAATTTTACAGCCTATTAAACAGCTAAAGCATTGAGTTAAACCCTGTTCATGTTATAATAATCTTGTAATACTTTTCTATAATGAGTGCTTTGGGGTCTGAGTGTCAGACCTCTCGTTAAGGGAATATAAGCTCACTGCGTATCCGCCTATATCTATATTTTGAACCCTGGTCACTGTTTAATGAACAGTGTGAGCAGATGAGAGAGAGGAAAGGAGGGGTACAAATGGAGATTCGTGGAGAAGACCCAAAAAAAGCAGAGGGTTTAACCAATAGGTGGAATGTGGATTGATTTGATGTCAAATCCACGGGCGGAGTGGAGTAGTCTGTTTGTTCTCGTGTTCAGTAATCAGTATTTGTACTGGAAACGTATTTTGGGTAATACCGCTGTTATATTGGCTGGGTTCTCAATTTCAAAGTTTAGGGTGTTGGAGCAATTTTGCTAACTAAGATTACAACCAGCTAATCAATACTTAAAAATATAAATAATTATTAATTATTTAAGAAATTAAAAATATAAATAAATTCGTATGTTGCATAGGTCCCTAAAATAGTGGTTAGCAAATGACATTTGTTAGGGAAATTTTTTGATTAGTACCATGTATTTTGTGCCTAGTGTCAATTTGATCCATGAACTTTAAAATGGATGATTCAGTATATGAACTTTCAAACTGGGTCAATTTAGTACTTGTAGTTAACCAACCGTTAAATAACATTTGAAAATGATAGAAATGTCCTTTAAATGTCATCTAATTTTATTTATCAACCATCTAAACATTGATAAAAAATTAACAGTCACAAATCCTTGTCTCTTCTATTCAAGAAAGTTGAGGTTACATCTTAGTGGACATGCTGATGACCCCAACTTTATTGAATAGAAGAAACAAGGATTTGAGATTGTTAATATTTTGTCAACATTAGGATGGTTGATCAAGAAAATTAGATGACACTCAAAGGGTATTTGTATATTTTTTAAATGTCATTTAACGGATGATTAACAGTAAATACTGGATTGACACGTTTTAAAAGTTCATATGCTAAAATTATTTATTGCATTTTAAAGTTTGGAAAACCAAAATGGCACCAGATCCAAAGTATAACTAATAATCGGAAAATTTCCCAGTATCCATTTTATCTATAATCTAATTTGTAGTGGCCTTTCCTTTCGTGGTCTCCAGATTGCATTGCTTATACGAAGTTGGTTGGTGTTACTCGATCGGTTACTGATACCAACCAGAAAAGTTAAATTGGCGGTGGTTAGCTGCTGACTTGTTTTTTATCAAACCGCGGATCCATCATCAGAGCTGTGTTATAACCGGAAATGACTAATCTGTACCCCCCGATACAATATTTTTCAACACGCAACAGTGCCGAAAAGTGAAAATGATATTGATGGTTGAAATATCACAGCCAGAGAGAGGCGATTGCTTGTGTTGCGTTTTGTCTTGTGCAATAATTTTGTATGTAATTGGAAGGTAAGAAGACGACTGAACTAATGCGATGTGAGAGATGATTGCTCAAAATACTTTAGCACTGGCGTCCTGATTTGGGTAATGGGTAATTGATGGACAGTGGTTGCAAAGTTTTACAATCAATGGATTCGAAATTTTGGAAAATTTTCACATATGGGTTTTTGTCCACATGTATTAAAAGTTTTTGTCCCTGTTAATTGAAGCTTGATCTATGACTGACACTAGCATCAATCTTGAAGAACCTAAGGAGGGCAGAGTTGGATCTGCTCACATATATGGTCTGTGTCCATACATTTTACCAGACCCACCATATCTGCAATGTGCAGATGCAGATCATGTTGTTGAAAAGCCTTGGATTGTGATGGCTAAGATTAAAATGGGTGGATTACAAATTTTCTAATACTTTGGTATTGGAGAATTGATAAAATGCATTGAGCTTATATAGCCGGTCTTCGATAAAGGTGCAACTTGGGTCAGGTTAGCTAGCTAGCTTGAACTCTGAACCCAACCCCAAAACAGTTCGATTAGGTTGGGTCAGGTTGACAATCGAATTAGGATTAGGGTTAGAGTTAGAATTGACCCCTTTCGACAAACCAACTCTGTCATTGCTATTGTACATATGTTTTATAATCCTATCGTATTCAGTGGTATCCATTTGTCTTTAACTCTTAAGTAGCCCTACCTGTAATGATAAGTTGTGATTAATTTTTTTTTATTTCATAATTTTATATTTTACTAGCAAAGACCCGTGGGATGCACGGGATTTAATAATAAACGAAAGATAAATAATAAAGAGGGTCATTTACTAAAATACCCTTATAGTTTCATAGATTTAATAAAATCTACCATATAGTTAGCATTTTACTAAAACACCACCTATAATTTGTAAAGGATTTAATCAATCTTCCATTAGATGATAGTGGAAAATGATAGTGTTGACAATAATGTTCATTTAAATAAATTTAAAATCAAAAGAAAATAGAAATAAAAAACTATTCATACCGTTAATAAGACACGAACAACCACTCTATTAGCTATATTTGGCCAATTTTGTTTTCTGTATGAAAAAGTGTTAAGAGTCTTTTTGGAATAAAAAATCATGAGCCTAATGGCAAAACAAACAATCCTTAATGAAAGGTTGACTAAGTAAATAAGTTGTAAAATATATGGGATGTTTTAGTAAAATGAAAACTATAAGGCAGGTTTAAGTAAATAAATAAAACTAAGGTGTGTTTTACTAAATGACCCTAATAGAAACACATAAGAGTATACAATTGTTTTATATTTTCCACTTTTTAAATAATTAATAATTATTCATGTTTTATATACTAATTTTAATAATTTTTTATAAAACAAAAATAACAATAAATAATTTCAATTAGGTATATTCATCAAACTTATGAAACCGACCAACCCAATCAACTCGACCCAAGTTGGTCGGTTTTGGTTCAAAAATTTTCCAATTCGACCAAGTTGGATCAGTTTCACTTTGGCCATTTATAAACCAACCAAAATCGAACAACCTAACCATG